CACCTGTGGCCGCCTCAGACACCTCCGTCGAGAGTGCCCGATGATAGACTGCAGCTTCGAGCAGGTCTGCTTGGGGGAGGCCCGGGCCCGTAAACAACCCTCGGGTAAACTGACTGTCCCCGTTACAGTGAATGGAGCCCCCGCCTCTGCCCTCATTGATTCGGGGTGTGGGCAGACGCTTGTCTGCCAGGGCCTCGTCCCCCAGCCTAAACCGTCACTAGGGTTCATTCAACTCCAGTGTATCCACGGGGATGTGCGATCTTACCCCAAGACCACGGTGACCCTGACTGTAAAGGGAGAAACCCAGACCCTGATGGCTGGGCTAGCCCTGAAGTTGGCGTACCCAGTCATCTGGGGCTCCTGCAGACGACGACTGACAGGACCTCCCATGCAGGGGCCGCCCTTGAAGGGGAACCTGTGGAAGAAGTGGACCAAGGCCTGGAGGACCCCGACGGGGAGGACCAGTCTGCTGGCCCCTCCAAAGCCAGACTGGCCAGAGGGTGGTGAAGCACTGGAATGGGTTCCCTAGGGAGGTGGTGGAATCTCCTTCCTTAGAGATTTTTAAGGTCAGGCTGGCACAAGACGAGGGGGTTTTTGGGGGGAGGAGAGGTTATAGGACCCGTCCTTTTCCCATACCTCTCCCCATTTCCTCACAACTCATCACCTGCCTTTCGGTTTTGCTCTTGATTTCGAAATCAGCCGTGCAACGCCTCACCCGGCAAAACAGTGCCTGCCTTCCCCCCCCCCCCCCCCCGCAACACACGGCGCGCCTCCCCCCCACACACCGCCCCCCCCCAACCCCTGGAGATATAACCAGTCCCCACCCCGACCCCCAGCCAGCCATTCTCCCAAAGCTCCTGGTCCCGATACAGGAGACAAAGGGCGTCACGGTGCTGCCGACACTTGTGATTTTACCATCGGCCTTGTGACAGTTGTTGCTTTTCTTAAAGCCCCAGCTTCTGGACTCCTGGGATTGTAAGGATCTGGGCTCTCATTAAAAGCAAGTTTCTAACCCTCTGGACGGCAGAGTGAAGCTCAGAATGTGACACCCCCCAGAGGGCTTCGAGACCGCAAGGAACCCAACGTTGCAATCTCACTATCTTCTTCAAGCCACTCATGATTTTCGAGGGCCTGTCTCAATGCTTCAAGGATTGGGGCAGCAAGGCTGGAGTTAATATTACGTGTATTATGGTAGTGCTTAGCCTGGGACTGGGTCCCCATTGTACCAGAAAGATGGCCCCCGGCAAACAGGAGACAGTCCAAGGAGGAATCTGCCGACAGATCCCGGCAGCTCAGTTCCCACCCAGGACCGTAGCTCAGGACGTTGCGTGAGACTAGACACGTTCACTACATCAGTTCTCTCGTTACAGCTCTGCCAGCCAAGTGGCGATGGGGAGAGATGCTGACAGGCCAAGGCTGACACCCAGACACGAGCGCTGCCGGCCCCTCTCTGACGGTGCGTTGGCAGCACTTCGGCCCCATCCAGCTCTAAAGCACTTCATGGACATTCACAGCCCGCATGGCTCCAGCTGCTGAGAAAGGAGCTACCAGCAGCCCCATTTTACTGCTGTGGAAACTGAGGCACAGAGGGATTCAGTGCCAGAGCTGAGACTTGAACCTGGATTTTCCCTGTGCCAGTGTAGTCCCTGAACCACTCGGGCACCTGTGCCACAGAGCTGCTGCCAGCTGGGCTGTGCCACACAGATCTAAGGAGGCATCAAAGATAACAGCAGATACAGGAGCTCAAACTACCCCTGGTAGCCCAGAGCCCATCGCACCAGCAGGACAGCGCCTGCCACCAACGGGAGCTGAGTTGGAACATGCAGTGCAGGATCCAGCCCCCAGCTGGGGACCCATGTGCCAACTTGGGCACCTGAAATCTGGCCCCATAATCCACATCAAGGCTCCTAAAATAGCTGGCCTGGCTGGCTGGTTATGCCCAGATTCTGCAGGATCTGGGAATGCTCGTTATTAAGTGAATTATGGTAGCGACTATCAGCCCTGACTAAAATTGAGGCCCTATTGTGCCAGGTTCTGCACAGACCCACAGCGAGAGACGGCACCTGCCCCAAAGGGCTCCCAGTCTCAACTGACAAAACTCAAGTGGGGAAACTGAGGCACGGAGCAGGGAAGCGACTTGCCAAATCAGTGGAAAGAACCCAGGTGTTCTGACTCCCACGCCAACACTCTGCCGACTAGATGGCGCTGCCTGCCTATGAATCACAGCCTCTTTGTAAGTCAGGCTTCTCATTTCAGGAGCCTAAGTCTGGATTGAAAACCAGACCCCCCCCAGAGCTCTGGGAAGGTGGGTGGGCACAGACCCAGGGCAGCACTGATGTCTCCCTCTCCCTCCCTCCTTCCACAGAGGGCAGCTGGACTGGCAGGGCCAAGCAGGGCAAGGAATGCTCCATTTTATTAATCACTTGGCACAACATGGACAGAAATATTTCTGAAAACGAGGCTTCTCTGCTGGCATCACAGGCGTGGCACACCTCCCCCCCCCCCCCAGGACATAGGATGCACAGAGGGGCGGGGCACTGAGCACCCAACAGGATCCAGCCCTTTGTACAGCCAGCCACTTAGACAAGAACTCACGACCAACACCCCTCCCCCAGCTGTGGGGATAGAACCCAGGAGTCCGGGTCCCCAGACTCCCCTGCTCTAGCCGCTAGACCCCACTCCCCTCCCACTGCTAGGATAGAACCCAGGAGTCCTAGGTTTGCTTTTTGCCCTGAAGGCATCTAAAGCCAGACAAATGCTCCTTTAAGTGAAAGACATAAGAACATAAGAACGGCCCTACTGGGTCAGATCAAAGGTCCATCTAGCCCAGTATCCTATCTGCCGACAGTGGCCAATGCCAGGTGCCCCAGAGGGAATGAACAGAACAGGTAATCACCAAGTGATCCATCCCCTGTCGCCCATTCCAAGCTTCTGGCAAACAGAGGCTAGGGACACCATCCCTGCCCATCCTGGCTAATAGCCAACGATGGACCTGTCCTCCATGAATGTATCTAGTTCTCTTTTGAACCTTGTTATGGTCTTGGCCTTCACCACATCCTCTGGCAAAGAGTTCCACAGGTTGACTGTGCGTTGTGTGAAGAAATACTTCCTTTTGTTTGTTTTAAACCTGCTGCCTATTAATTTCATTTGGTGACCCCTAGTTCTTGTGTTATGAGAAGTAGTAAACAACACTTCCTTATCTACTTTCTCTACACCAGTCATGATTTTATAGACCTCAATCATATCTCCCCTTAGCTGTCTCTAAGCTGAAAAGTCCCAGTCTTATTAATCTCTCCTCATACGGAAGCCGAAGACTTTGAAGACTCCAAAGCAAAGGACCCCGACCCACATTCTAAGCCGCCCCCTCCCCAACCAGCCTCCTCTGAACCCTGGGACACCAGGCACCCAGCTCCTGATGCTGCAGCTCCCAGCTCCGAGGTGGATCCCACGCTCCAGCACCACCCACAGCCCAAAGGGGATGCGACTGAGGATGCATCAGTGGCCAGTGGGGGTGGGGAAGGTCACCCTGGAACTTCCCCTGCCCCCAAGGATCAGATCAAGTCTGGATGAAGCTTGGAGGGGGGGCTTACTGGACCCAGGACGACCTGTGACAGGAACAGCTGGGAAGGGGGGGTGGAGGCTTTGGGGCATCTCCACCTGGGATGCGCTGACACTGCAGGCCGGGGTAGACCCAGGAGCAGCGCCAGGGTTTTTCCCGCCCTAGGCAGGGGTCCTTCCGCGCTCCTGGTCTTCGGCGGCAAGTCTGCGGCTGGGGGTCCTGCCGCGGTCCTGGTCTTCGGGGCACTTCGGCGGCGCAAATGGCGGCCCCCGAAGGCCCCGCCGCAGAGTCGCCACCAAAGCCCCGGAGTGCGGAAGGACCCCCCGCCGCAGAATTGCCGCCAAGTGCAGCAAAATGCCGCCCCCCAAATCCTGCTGCCCTAGGCGATCACCTAGGTCGCCTAAATGGAAGCGCCGGCCCTGGGTAGACCTGGCCTTGTCTCCAATGGGGGCAGGATCAGGCCCAGAGGGGGGTAGAGCCAGGACACATGCAGGCAATTGCATCCAGCCTTCTGCACTGTCATTAACCACTCAGGACTCCTCTTTGGAACGTTCACATTCAGTGAGTAATTTGGCAGGCTGCTAGGGAACGTGAGCGAGAGAAGAAAAGAGACATTTATAGCTTGGCCAGACCAGAATGGGGTTTCCTTGGACAAAGCAAAGACAGCTCCCTAACCTAGGGACCTTCTCCCAACCACGTTTCAAAGGTCTGTCACAAACAATGGAACTATGCAGAGCTGCGTGCAGGCTCGGGCAGATGGCCCTGCCGTGGATCTGCTCCGTTCCCATGGGGAGAGGGGGAGCGCAGCTGCTGCTCCTGGAGCCCAAAGTCAAGTGACTTGTCCACATCCAAACAGCTGGTCAGTCGCTAATTGCAGTGCAGAACGGCGACAGCACACACACAGGAAGGCTCCTGCAAGCCCCACCGTTCAGCACATGTACAACCAGTCAGGCCAAAGCCATGGAGCACATCGCATCGGAGATAACCCAGCCCAATGGGACCTTGGGCATCTAATACTGGAGACAGCCCCTAGAAGACAGGGAGGTGAGGGGGAAGATGCTGCACCAGGGGACTTGCCTCCAACCCTGAGATCAGGCCAAAAGAGAGCAGCCCAAAAGCAAAGGGGGTCAGCACACGACCTCATGGTAGAGGATTTTATTAGTCAGTTCAAGCAAGAGCTTGGCTAGGCCAGGACACAGACATGCAGAGGACATGCCTCCAGGGGAGGGGGGGATGCATTTACTGCAAGATTTTTCCACACACTGCCCCACCCAGACAAAGTCAAGGGAGCCAGTTGGACTTAGCAGAGTCTCAGTGGAGCATGGCTTCACCTCCTCACGAATACTGCGTCTGAGCAGGATGTGTGACAACACACAGCAGAGACCGGAAAAGCCACATAGTCCAGCCCGGTCCAAGTGGGAGGGAGTCAGACAGCACCGTGGAGTCAGACAGCACCGGGGCAATCCCAGGGGCTCGTTCCTGGAGCGGGAATGCACTGTGCTCTCCAGCAGGTCAGCCCATCCCTCTCTCCAGAGGCTCCATAATCCTGCTGGCCCAGGCCCCACCATCCTCTCCTGGCGTGCTGCCAGCCAGTGCAAGGGCTCCATCTTCCTGCCTCTCGCGCTACCAATTCAAAACACCACAAGGTGAAACCCATCCTCTCAGTACCAAGCTTGCGTGCCTGACACTGGCCTCAAACCCCTGCACTGCTCATGCAACACTGCACCTTTCCCTGGCATGTCCTAGCCGAGCAGCTCAAAGCACTTTACTCTTAACTCAGCCTCACCGCCCTCTCGTACAGGTGGGGAAACTGAGGCACAGCAAAGGGAAGGGACTTGCTCAAGCTAGTTTCCCTTTGAGCCTCTTCCCCAGAAGGGCTGTGAGGATTAGTTAACGAGCAGTGCAAAGCCCCCCACCACCCTGAGAGAGCAGACAGCAGGTTACTCTATTTGCTGTTAACCCCCTGCATCATATCTGCAGCTCCCTTTGCCCAACACGCCTGGAGTTCTCCAAGGAGGGCAGTTGACTGCAGCCATGCCAGTGCATCCCCGACAGCCCCTTGGTGGTGACTTGCAGGTGACTTGCATCCTCCCTCCCCTGGAGGTGTGTAAAGGTGTGTTGGGAGGGGGGGTGTCCTTCCCCCACTCCAGGCCATGCTCCCCTCTCCCTCAATCCAGCTCGGGGGGCATGAAGTGCTGTCACTGCTGAGCTGCACGCAGGAGCCGCTCTTCATGCTTCTTCCGCATCCTCTCCTTGAAATCTTCCAGCTCCTTCCTCTGAGGCCCAGACAGAGGGGAAGGGTCAGGGTCAGTAAGCATTACTGTTCACCTGCTTCATGCCCCCATAGCACAGCCCCACAGGTACCATCTCCCTCCCAGGTCTCCTTAGAGCCAGATGCACAGCTGGTGGAGGCGTGAGAGATCCTGCTACCCTCTAGTGGTTAGAGGGTGACTCAAGAAATCAGCCCTGATGCTGCTGCAGCTAATGGAGCCAGGATAGCATTAATCTCTTACTGGTGGGGAAGGAAGGACACAGAGCCCCTCATGTTCGTCCCAAACCTCCAGGGGCTGGACAAGTTGCTTCTTCAAACCCCAGCTGAGTCCTGGGATGGGCTCAGACTGGGACAGCTACAGAGCACCTGGAGACACCAGATAACTCCCTGGTCGCGCACCACAGCTGGGGAAGGATCGAAGCAGCTGGGTCTTTGCCAGACGATGCTCTGAAGGCAATGGGGAGGAGAGCTCTATTCTTCTGCTCTGCCAGAGACAACCTATCCCAGCAAGGCCTTGCAGGTGATGGCACATGGCTGCGTGTCACCTAGGGGTGTAGATCCAACCCCCCAATGGCTGTTAATCCCAATGACCTGCAATGGGCAGGATAGCTGATGTCACGCGAGAGAGGGGCTCAGCAAAGCCTCCACAGCTGGGACATGTCCTCAGCAAGGTTCATGGGGGGGCAGTACACTCACCTGGTGGTCATCATCGGGTGGGTAGATCTCCCTCTGTGGAAACAGAAATGCAGGCACCTGTGAGGCTTACCAGCTAGGGGGGTGCCAGGGCCAGTCTTACCCAGCAGGGGAGCTAGTGCCATTACTGGCACAGATGACAAGGAGAAATGGATCCAACAGACCCTGCTGGGATGTCTGCCATCTCCACCCCCCTTAGCAACAGCTCCTAGGCAGGTCTCTCGCATATCAGAGGTGGGGAAGGAGCAGGGCATGGCAAACGAAGCCAGTGCAGCTGTTTGGTCAGCTCTAGAAAATGCCCTCTACAGACGTCACCTCCAACTCCTCCCCATGAGCTCTGACTGAACCCCTCCGTTGTTCTAACCACTAGCCCACACTACCCTCCTAGAGCTGGAAACAACCCGGGAATCCTCCCCTCACAGTACCTGCATGAATCACTAGCTTGCACTCTCCTCCCAGAGCAGAACACCATGCTCACCTTCCTTTTGATGACATATTCTTCGAAGTACTCTGCTTGGTTGGAGATCCAGAACATGGCAACAGGGAAGGACAAATACAGAACCATCTGCAGAGGAAGAGAGGAGAGGGGGAACATGTGGCCCAAATCAAGGGGAACACTGAATTGAGCTTAAACAAGGATGGCCTTGCATGAAATCCCAGGTACTACACAGCCCAATTAAGCAAAACTCCTGCAAAGCACATGGCAGTGATGAACTCAGTGCAGCTTCACTTCAGCTATGTCCACACTACAGACTCTAGGCCAGCATAGCTCCAAGCGTAGACGGAACATACAGCGACAGGACTTTTTCTGCTGGTGTTGGAACACCAACTCCCCAGACAACATTAGCTCTGCTGACAGAGGTGCTCTTCCATCGACATAGCTGCCTCTACATTGGGGGTTTTGTCGGCATAGCTCTGTCACTAGGGGCTATGGGTTTTTTCACATCCCTGACTGACATAGCTATGCCAGTGTAAGTTGTAAGTGCAGACCAGACCTTAGCTTTGATCAAGCCACATTAAAATGTATTGGTCCAGGAACTTTGTGTGCATGGGTCTTTTCTTTTAAAGTCTCTTCCTTTCCTCTGGGCCCATGCAATAACTAATGATAGCTTAGACATCTGCTTAGATGATCCTCACACGTGTCTGGACCAACAGCATTTTGCAAGGCTATTGCCAAAGCATTTTCCCCTTAGGAGGAAGGACCTGGCTGTATGTTTTTTATGGAGACATTTTATACACTTGCTGAACAGTGCCTTAACATTTCATGAGCTGAAAATGGAGCAAATTGAGAGAGCATGGGGGAATCCACGTAAACCTACTACCACCAAGCGAACCCACTGCAATGCCACCCAATCCTCGGGGCCATGATGGTGGAGTCCCACCCCTCTCCTACCACAAAGGCACACCACCTCTAGGGAAAAGGGGTGGGGTGGGAAGAATTCCTCCACCCTCCTGTTGAGCTGCCCAGTGTCTCAGGCCATGCTGGATCCTGCCACTCTACTAACGGGCTGCCCCATCTTCAAGGCTGCCGCTGAGTATTTGCTTTGACCCGCAGGCCTGTCTGCTGCTTCTCTGGGATACCCTCTCGTGGGGATTTTCCATTTTAATTTTTTAACCTCCTCCGTCCCCTGCCCCAGCAACAAGGGCAAGTAGCCAGCCCTGGACTCTCCTTCCCTTCAGAGGCTCTCAATGCGGGCCCCTTGGCTCCAACTAGTCAGGCCTTTCTATGGCACCCATCACCCTGGTACCAGGACACCCCAGCCAAGCACCAATGAGCCCCCCCCACTTGCCCCATCATGTTCCCTAAAGGGCTGCTCTGCCGCTACTACGACTGTAGCAGCCCCCCTCCCCCAGCCTCTCTGCGCCTCCCAGGGTCCGTTTCTGCCACTGACCCGAAACACCTCCAGCTTCACCCCCATCCTGTCTGCTAGGCCCCAGCTACTCTTCCGCCCGCCCTCTCTCAGGGCCTCACTGGCCGCTAGCTTCCGCTCTCCCACACCGCAACAAACGCGATGCTGATTGGTCAAGGAGCAGCATCAGCTTCGGTCATTGGTGAAGAACTCGTCGAGGAGGGGCCCACTCCCAGATTGCCGGAGTAAAGATGGCGTCTGGCCGGAAATGGCCCCTGAAGGTGGAGCTTCACCGGAAGTGCGGCCCTCTTAGCCAATAAGCGGTTTCCCCGCGAGATGGCCGCCCCCTGACACGGAGAGAGCGCGCCGCGCCGTTTGCGTCATCGCCGCGCGCCGCGCCGTTTGCGTCATCGCCGCGCGCCGGGGCCTGTCGGGGTGTGTGTGTGTGGGGCGCAGGGTCTGGTGTAGCCGCGATGCCGGAGCTGGAGGAGACGCCGGTGGCCGCCGGCGAGGGGAAGCCGGACCTCTTCTTCGTGAGTGCCCGGCCGTGTCATGTCCTCTCAGGCCACCGTAGCCTACAGCGCCCCCCTTCCCCTCGGCCTGGGCTCGCCCCGCCCTTGGGTTCCCTCTAACTCACCCCCTCGCTGCCCCCAGGCCCCCGTGGCCAGGGAGCCCCGCCCCCTTCCTCCCCATGGACCCAGAGCGCCCCCCCCCCCCCCCCCGACGTGCTGCCTCCCATAGACTCAGACCTGCCCCCTACCAGCCTGGGGCCCGTTGTCCGCCTCCCCACTGTGCGAGGAAGGGTTCGATCGGGCACACCCGGGCAGAGCTCTGGGTTTGCAAAGTTGGACCCTAGAAAACTCAGGGACCCTCAAGTGTACGTGCCTGTCATTGCCAGGTGCTGGAGCAACTCTTGTGCCATGATTCCTCGCCCAGGCCTCAGCCCTGGAGCTGTGGTGCAAGGGTCGGCCTTCGACATCTCAGCTTGGCTCTCTGTCTGGTTTTAATTGTACCTTCCAATACCAAGCTAGTGTGTGTGCAGTTCTGAGCAACTCTGCAATAACAACCAGTGTACAGGTACAGCCCTAGTTTTCCTGAGCAACCCTGTAGTGACAAGACAACATTTGCAAAGCCCTGGCCCTTCTAGGCAACCCTACAATAATAAACCAGTACGTTTACATCCCCAGCCCCATGTTAACAAAACAGGCTGCCAGCCTGGAGGAAGCAAACACTGAATGAGGAAACAGGTTGTAATAAACAGAGGAAAATGAGTTTTAAAAGTTTGGATTCCCTTGGTGGTTTCCCTACTAAACAGACTCTGAGTTTCAGAAGCGGTGCTGCTAGTGCCCGGTGGTTCCTGGGTATAAAGGAGGGGCCTGGGCTCTGCCTCTAACCCCTTCCCCTCCCACATGCAGGAGGAGGAGGATCTGCAGTACGAGGAAGAAATCCTGCGCAACCCCTTTTCTGTCAAGTGCTGGATCCGCTACATTGAGTTCAAGCAGAACGCCCCCCGGCATGTGCTGAACCTGATCTACGAGAGAGCCCTCAAGGAGCTGCCAGGCAGGTATGTGGCTGGGAGCGAAGACATGGGCATGTCTGTGTTGCAGTAAGAGGTGTGACAGCAGCATGTGTTGACACGCCGGAGCTAGCGAGCTTGATAACAATGGCAATGAAGCTAGTCACTCAAGTACGTACCCGGGCTTGTGGGCTCACTTGTACAACCCGTGCTGCTGTGTCTGTGCTGCTGTTATTCAAGCTCACTAGATCGAAGGTAGCTTCTCTGTTGACGCATTCTGCAGTCACACCTTTGATTGCAGTTGTAGACATACCCTTTAGGAGCTCACAACTATTGTGATCTCACGTGGGAAGCACTACAGAGGAGTGCAGGTGCACTGGATATGGGCAGCTCCCGGCTACCACATGCCTAGCCTCTCCCAGCGGGAGGCTCTGTGAGGGCCAGGACAGGAGCGCAGGCTACAGAAACCTCTGGTAGTGACAACTCCATGGTGTTTGCAGTTACAAGCTGTGGTACAACTACCTTAAGCAGCGCCGGAAGCAGGTGAAGAACAGGTGTGTGACTGACCCCGGCTATGAGGAGGTGAACAACTGCCATGAACGTGCCCTCGTCTTCATGCACAAGGTATGGGGAGGCCCGGGACAGATGAGCGGCAAAGCCGCTGGGCTTGATGGTGGTAGATGAAGGCTCCCTGGTGAGGGCAGGGTTGTTGGAGGCTTTCTGCATGGCTCTGTCCCCAACCATGGACAGCCCCTGCCCCAGGCTCTGGCCGCCCTTGTAGATCACCCAACCATGGACCCCTTGTGTCCTGGACCTCATCACCAACCATGAACTCCTCCCACACCTTAGACCCCTGCCTGCCTGCTCTGAGTCCCATGTGTCTCCAGAATGGGCATAGCCTGGGCTCCCGCAGGGCCAGCTCCCCCATGCCATCACTAGCCAGCTTGCATCGGCACTGACCAGGTCTCATTGTGCTCGGCTTGCTAATGGGCTGGGGGCCAGCAGGAAGCTGCCTTGGACCCAGCAAGCTCATTTTATGTAACCCCACTGGTGGCTGTCAGTCACTTCTGGCCTTGGGCTGGGTTGGAACCAGCAATTTCAAGGCACAAGGCTCTGTAGGGTTCTCTTGAGGATTCACCCCCAGGCCTTGTCTGCTCATTGCTCTGGCTAGAATGAAACAAACAGGAGGGGAAATCCAAATACCAGGTGAGGTACCCACGTTGTCGGGGACAGGGCTTCCCTCCTTAGGGAGAAGGGGGTTTTGTCTTTAGGGACAGCTATGCCATAGCATGGCAGTATAACCATGATGGGAGGAGTCGGGCCCTGCCCATGGTCCTGCTCTAGTAAGTAATCCTACCTCTTGAACTGGCAGATGCCTCGGATCTGGCTAGATTACTGCCAGTTCCTCATGGACCAGTGCCGGATCACCCGCACGCGCAGGACCTTTGACCGGGCGCTCCGGGCGCTGCCCATCACACAGCACCATCGCATCTGGCCCCTCTACCTGAAGTTTGTGCGCTTGTACCCCCTGCCCGAGACGGCTGTGCGAGTCTACCGCAGATACCTGAAGGTAAGGGCGCCAGCCTCCCTGATCTTTGCTGAGCTGCCCCTCTTTGAACAGTCTCCTCTGGGTTTGCCTGTCTCTGCATAGTGGATCCGCAACATTGGAACAAAGGCCTTGGAGCTTCTGCTCCTCATAGGGTCAAAATCCAGCCCTAACCCCGCCCACAGCTGCAGGGTGCATTGCAATGGAGGCAAACGGATTGGAGGGGATGGCTGAGTGACCTGCCTAGGGTTATGCAGGGAGGCTGAGCCAGAGCAAGGAATTGAACCTGTGTCTCCCGATCCCAGGTTAGCACCCAAACTTCTGCACTGTCCTTCCACTTGTCCCTGCCCCAGCTAGCTGTGGTACCTCAGGCAAATCACTTCCCCTCTCTGTGCCTCAGTTTCCCTTCACAGAGGGGGCCTAGTGAACTGTAAAGTGCTTGGAGATGGGGGGGAGCAGAGGGGGGCAGTGTTAACCTGCAAAAGCATGGGGGGGGGATTACCCGTTTAGCTGCCACGTGGACATCACTGGAAATGCTGTACTTATATCTGTGTAATGGTGATGTTAGTGTCTGTGCCAGAATCTCCCTGCTCTAGGGCTAGGGCCTTGTGAGGGGCAGGGGGTGCTGGGTTGCCTTTAGTCATAAGACTGCTAGACTGGGTCAGGCCTAGCTACAACTAACCTAGTATCCCATCTCCGACAGTGGCCTGAGCCAGCGCTCTGGGGGAGTGTACAGAACAGGGCAATTATGGAGTGATCCACCGCGGTCTACCACTCCCAGCTCCTGGTAGCCCATGGTTTAGGGTCACCACGAGCGTGGGGTTGCGTCCCGGACCATCTTGGCTAATAGCCACCAATGAACCTATCCTCCGTGAACTTTTTGGGAGCCCAGTTCCCTGGCTGGGATGATTTAGTTGTGGATTGGTCCTGCTTTGAGCAGAGGGTTGGACTAGATGACCTCCTGAGGTCCCTTCTAACCCTGATATTCTATGATTCTATGTTCATCCCCGTGGTGTGTGCTGCAGCTGAGCCCCGAGAACGCCGAGGAGTACATTGAATACCTGCGCTCCATTGACCGGCTGGACGAGGCTGCCCTCCGCCTTGCCACCGTGGTCAATGACGAGAGGTTCGTCTCAAAGGAGGGGAAATCCAACTACCAGGTGAGGTGCCCATGCTGCTAGGACGAGGCTTCCTTCCTGAGGGGGCAGCTGTGCCAGTCATCCACCCCACTGCTCATAGCTCCTCTTGCCCCCTCCCTTTAAGGATGGCTTGTGCCCCACCTCTTTGCTAGTCCCCCAGAGCACTGTCCCCACGCAGGGTCTCTCACATCCTGGAATGTGCCAGTTGGGGCAGCAGGAGTGAATAGTGGGGCTGGGCACCAGACCTCAGCCTGGAGCCTGGGCCCACAGTGTTAGGAAGTGGAGGGGATGGGCTAATTTGTGCAAACCAAGCCCAGGGCAGGAACTGGAGTAGCCATCATGGTGTGTGCTCCCACATGGGCACAGTAGTCGTGGGGGATGGGCTAGATGGGCCTCAGGGCCTGGGAGCACCTGGTGGGTGCTGAGTGGCCTTGTAGCCTTGCCCTGCTGCCTGATGTCTCATCTCCCCTCCAGCTGTGGCACGAGCTGTGTGACCTCATCTCCCAGAACCCTGACAAGGTGAAGTCCCTCAATGTTGGGGCCATCATTCGCGGAGGCCTGACCCGCTTCACCGACCAGCTGGGCAAGCTCTGGTGCTCCCTGGCCGACTACTACATCCGCAGTGGGCACTTTGAGAAGGTACCTTGGGGGGTGGGCGAGGCCAGCTCTGGGAGCTTGTAGGGATGGGCACTGTTTCATGCAGACTGCTCTGTGAGTGGCACTAGCTGCTGACAAAGGCTTTCCCATTGCGAGGGGCAGCTGGTGTTTAATCTGGTGGGCGCAGGGGTTAAAAATCCTGGGGAAGCAACAACCCAGGAGGTTGCATGGCTGGGTGCAGCGTGGGCCCCCAAAGGGTTAGTGAATCATGCGATGAGAGGACAGAGAAACCAGGTGTGGTGGAGTGGGAGAGAGAAGAAGGAAGTCTCCACCTGAGGCTTGGATCCAGGAGCTGCATGGGAGAAGGCGCTCTCTCCAGCAGCAGCCATAAGGGCCACACCGAAGCTGGTGCTGGGTGATTCATGGAGGGGAAGTTACGGGAGCCAGGGACGGTTGAGCTGAATCTAAGAGGGGTTTTGAAACAAGATGGGTGACGTTTGAACTGGATCCTGAAATGGGGGGAGGGGGCATGGGGAACTGGGAGGGAGGTGCTGTGGGAGGGTACTGCAAAGACCAGAGCAGTCTGGTGGGGGAGGAGGGAAAGGGAAGCAGGCTGGGGGAACTCCTCACAGCCCCCCTCCCCTGCCCCCCACGGAGCTTCCCTGGCTGCAGAGGGATGGTGGGGGGCAGGGGAGGGGGGGCTGTGAGGAGTTCCAGCCCAGCAGAGATGCAGGGTGTCTGAGTTCACCACCCCAATATGGAAAGCAGCTGGGCTTCCCTGCTCACTCAGGCACTGGGGTAGCTCCTGTTTGTCTAGCCAGTCTCATCTGGCAGGAGCCCAAAGCACATCTTTGGAGGGATCAGTGCCCTGGTTCTGGAGTGTGCCTGCCTCTGGGGTGGAATATGACAGGGGTTAAAGAGCGCACAGAACACTACGTGGTCACTGATGAGCCCGTGATGTGTTTCTCAGCTTTGAAGATATTAACCCCAGTGTCCAGGCCCAATCCCAATCCAGCGTGCTCCAGCTGACTCTCTGCATTCCCCCGAAGTTAGTTAGTGTCTCCTCTAACCAGGCAGTATTTCTAAGGCTCGTAGCGCCATAGCGTTGAATCCTCTCCCTTTGTGTGGTGTTGCCATGTGACTATTAAACAGTGTAGAAGAGGGGGATGTTGCTGCTAAACTGTTACTGTTGCTCAGTGCTTTTGTTGGAGCTCCAGTGTTATCAGCACTAGCAGGCAGTGCAGCCTGCTGATTCAAAGGCACTTGGCCAGGTTTATTGCCCTTCAGGCACAGTCCTAGCATCCCATAGGAGCTACAGGTACACTAACCTGTG